AAACTACATTTATATATAATCATGATTATTTATTTTTCAATTTTTAATGGTTGAAATTTATCATAATTTTTTAAGTAAAAAACATAATTATCTTTAATAAGTATGTTAAAAAAATAAATCTCAATTATTAAAAGTAAATTAATAGATAAAAATTTGTGTATAAATAAATTTTTACTTTGTAAATTATATCCAAAAGTTCAGCACAAGAAAGGTACTTGTTTCCTTCTAATTGAAAAGGAAAATATTCTCCTTCTTATAGAAGGTGAATCCCGAATGTGGTGTTTATGGCACCGAGTTAGATACATTATGATTTTATACTACCAAGTTAAATACATTACAAGCAAGCCAAAGTTTGGGTTCAAAAGAAGTGTTTCGTAAATTAAATTTAGAATTGAACTTTTAAAGTTTGTATTTAAATAAATTTGAAGTTGTGTGTCTATCTTTGATTAAATGAAGATTATTTCCTTTAATGTGAGGGGTTTGGGTGGGATAGTGAAGAGGAAGGAAGTGGGAAAGCTGATTAGAGAGGAAAGGCCGGACTTTCTATTCTTGCAGGAAACGAAGTTAGAGAGGATAGATGTGGGTATTTGCAAACTTTTATGGAACTCTGATGAGTTCGAATGGGTTGCGAAGGCCTCGTTTGGAGCATCAGGGGGACTGCTATGTTTATGGGACAGAAGGAATTTTGTTAAGCGAGAAGAGTTTACAGGGGATGGGTATGTGGGAATATCAGGGGTATGGGGAGTAAATAAACAACAGTGCAGCCTAATAAATGTGTACGGCCCCAATGATAGACAGAAGAGGGTTAAGCTGTGGGAGGAGCTGAGGAAGAGGGTGATTGACAAGGAAGGGTGGTGGTTGATCGCAGGGGATTTTAATGCTGTCAGAGGGCCTGAGGAGAGGCGAGGGAGAATAGGGGTGAGTTCAGATATGTGGGATTTTGAGGAGTTCATTGTAACAACAGGCCTGGTGGATGTTAAATTGACAAATAGACGATATACATGGTATAAACCAGATGGAACAGCAAGAAGCAGACTAGACAGATTCTTGTTGAGTACTGAGATGTATAATAGGGGAGGAGAATGGATACAGCAGGGGCTGCCAAGAAACATTTCTGATCATTGTGCAATGGTGTTGAAATCCAAATCAACATATTGGGGACCAAGGCCTTTTAGAGTCTTAGATGCATGGCAACAACATCCAGGATTCAAGAAGGCTGTAGAAGATAAGTGGAGAGAGATGGCAGTGGAGGGGTTTGCAGGGTATAAATGCAAACAAAAGTTAAAACTGTTGAAAGAGTTCTTAAAAGGTTGGAACAAGGAAGTATTTGGAAACATGGAAGCCCAGTATGTGCAGGCTGTTAAAAAAATAGAGCAGGTTGATATGTAGAATGAGGTAGCTGACCTGGAAGAATTAGAAATTGTTAAAAGGCAAGAAGGCTTCTCTAAGATGTGGGATGTTTTGAGAAAAAGGGAACTAATCTAGAAGCAGAAGTCAAGGAGCAGATGGATAAGAGAGGGTGACGCGAATACCCGTTTCTTCCATAAAGTGGCTAACGGGAGAAGGGCGCAAAATAATATTGCTGGCTTAATGCGTGAGGGGGTGTGGATTGAAGATCCAGAAACAGTCAAAGATGAAATTGTCAAATATTTTAGGAATTTGTTCAAAGGTGACCCATGGAACAGACCCAAGCCCGAGGGTATCAAATTTCAAAAGATTTCAGAGGAGAAAAAAGAATGGCTAGAAAGACCTTTTTCGATTGAAGAAATTGAGGAAGGTTTAAGGAGCTGTGACGGTTCAAAGGCACCGGGATTGGATGGTACAACTTCAATTTTCTTAAATTTGCGTGGCATTGCATTAAGGACGATTTCATCAGTTTTTTCTCAGAGTTCCACTGGAATGGTAAACTGGTGAGGGGTCTAAACTCTTCTTTTTTGGCTTTGGTCCCTAAAAAATTGAATGTTGCAAATTTAAAGGAGTATAGACCCATTAGCTTGATAGGATGTGTTTATAAATTATTAGCGAAGGTTTTGGCTAATAGATTGAAATCGGTGATGCCAAAAATAGTGAGTGAAACTCAATCTGCTTTTGTGGGGGGTCGCCAATTGGTTGATAGTGTATTGGTGCTGAATGAGGTAGTAGATGAGATAAAGAACAAGAAACAGCCAGCCTTTGTCTTTAAGGCAGATTTTGAAAAGGCATATGACTGCGTGGATTGGTCCTTCTTGGACTGGATGATGGATAGTTTTGGGTTTGGAACAAAGTGGAGAGGATGGATTATGGAGTGCCTTTCAATGGCGAGAACTTCGATTTTGGTAAATGGAAGCCCGACAAGGGAATTTGAGGTTGGTAAAGGATTACGTCAATGGGACCCTTTATCTCCTTTTCTTTTCTTGATGATTGGTGAGGGGTTACAAGGCTTGGTACAGAAAGCAATGGCGGAAGGAATGCTACATGGAATCGAGATTGGAAAGAAAGGGATGATCGTGTCTTTACTTCAGTTCGCCGATGATACAATAATTATGGGCAGAGCGGATGCTGAGAATATACGAATGGTGAAGGATGTTTTAAGATGGTTTGAACTTATGTCTGGTTTGCGGATAAATTTTAACAAGAGCAGTATCTATGGCTATAATGTGTTGGAGAGATGGTTAAAGGGATCAACCGGTATGCTACGATGTGGAGTAGGTCAAACACCCTTTCTTTATCTGGGGTTGCCTATTGGCAGTAAATCCGGAAGCAAGAAGGTGTGGGAGCCGATGGTGAATAAATTTCGTGCAAAGCTAGCTGTTTGGAAGGCTACTACTCTTTCCTTTGGAGGTTGCCTAACTTTACTGAACTCGGTACTCTCTACGTTACCTATTTTTTATATGTCTCTGTTTTTACTACCAAAGTCTGTTCTTGTGGAGCTGATTAGTATTCAAAGGAGATTCCTATGGGGTGGGCTAGATTTAAATAAAAAGATTGCATGGGTGAAATGGGAATATGTTTGTCGTGATAAGGTGAAAGGGGGTTTAGGGGTACCAGATATGCTTAGGAAAAATTGGGCATTGTTAGGAAAGTGGTGGTATAGATTAGGTGATGGGATTGAGAACTTATGGAAAAGGGTGGTGAGGGAGAAATATTATGGAGGTAGGAGTGAGGTCGATATTACAACGATTGAGGGCCCGAGGGTGTCAAAGCTGTGGAGGGATATTATTAGAATGGGGGGTCAATCTTCGAGACTAAAGAATATGCTAGTTGAGGGGTTCAAGTGGGAAGTGGGTGAGGGAAATAAGGTGGATTTTTGGCTAGAGTGGTGGGTTGGAGATAAACCTCTTAGGGACTTATGTCCAAGATTATACGCTCTATTGGTTAAGAAGGAAGGAAAGGTTTATGAAATGGGAAGATGGAATGAGGGTAGATGGTGTTGGCGTGTTGAGTGGAGGAGAGGTACCATAGGGCGTGAGAAGGATGAGGAGGTGGTGCTAGAGAGGGCGCTGGAGGGTGTTCAAGTGAAGGAGGGGGTTGGGGATGTTTGGAAGTGGAGGCATGCGATGGATGGCAGATATGTTGTAAAGATAGCCTACGACTATTTAGATTCTATGGAAGGAGTATTGGAGGACCAGAGGTGTAAATTAATATGGTGCCGGTTGGTACCATCCAAAGTTGCTTTTTTTGGGTGGCGATTGTGCTTAAATAGGCTTCCAACTAAGGAAAATCTTCAAAAGCGTGGGGTGCAATTGCAAGAGGAAGGTATTTACTGTGAATTTTGTAGTGGGATAGTGGAGGAGGCTAATCACTTATTTTGTATATGTTATAAAGCGTGGTTAGTGTGGGTAGAGGTGTTGAATTGGTGGGGTTTGGAGAGTGTTTTACCCAATACAGTTATGGGAGTGGCAGATAGGGGCGGAGGCAGAAATTTTTTTCAAGGGGGGCAAAATACTAAAATTTTCAAAGTTCAGGGGAGGCTAGATAATTTTTTATATACCAATTTGCAAGATTTTCAAATTTCAGGGGGGGCGAGCACTCCCCCTCGCACCCCCTGGCTTCGCCACTGGTGGCAGATTTTTTCATAGATGTGTTGGGCAGTACAATAGGAAAGGAGATGGGCTCTTGTGTTTTTCTGGCAGTTGCTTGGTATGTATGGTATAGAAGGAATACTCAGATATTTCGAGAAGATGAAGGAATTCCAGAGAAAATGCTGGAAAGGGTGCAAGTAAAAACCTTTTTATGGTTGAAGTCTAAAGTGAAGGGATGTGTTTTTTCCTTTTATGAATGGCAATCTTATCCGATGGAATGTGCAAAGGCTGTCAAACGGCATAAAAGGATGAGGAAGCAATTCTCGAAGGCAGTAATGGCCCCTAGCTAACGGGGGGGAGGTTCACAATCTGCTCTTTTAGTCTGTTGTATGGGTTCTGAAGGACATGGTGATGTTTTGGGTGTGCAGGCCGTTATAAGTTGCTGGAAACGGCTTAGTGTTATTTCCTTCTCCTGTAGACTTCTTCCTAATGGCTGTCCTGAGCTTTTCTGTTTCTTGAATGTAGTAGGTAAATTGTGTTGTGTATCTTGATTCCACCAGACTGTACTCTGTTTTGGGAGTATTTCTTATGCTCCTTCTCTAATACATATAGTATGTTGCTTTGCTGATAAAAAAAAATAATAATAATAATTAATTTTTTTTATTTGTTTTAGGTTAATCTAAAGATTGTCTTTAAAATTGTTGAAAAGATATTAATTAACTTGTAATGTATAAAAATTGATTTAATTATTTTGATCCTAAATAAAAAATGCAAAGATAGATTACAAGTCTAACCATTTTCAAGAGTATCTGCTTAAGTTTAAAAATTTTATAAACTCGTTAAACAAGGAACATGCATACTATGTATTTAGTCATTAACTACGCTGATACACAATTCAATCGATTCACAACAGACACATAAAAAATAGACATCATAT